GGGCCTCTCTCTTCAAGGAGGGGCCAGCGTACAAAGATCACAACCTTCAGATTGCAGCTTATGTTGAATCCTGGGAGACTAAGTAGCCCTGAGAGTGTGGCCACTTAGTGACAAACTGCCTCAGAATTCCGGTCACCTCTGCGGGAAGGTACAAAGCTCTGCTCCTGGGACCGCCAATGAGGATCTAGCAGTCAATCAGAAACCGCAGGAAGTGTGCAGCCACAGCACTCAATGGCTCCAAGCCAAAAGATCCCATTAGAAAAATGAGCAGGACGTGGTCCCGGCTGGTACAAGAGGGAATCGCGGTGCCCTCTGTGATGCATGGTCAACAAAGATGACAAGATCCTGACTTTCAGCCTAAAACTTGAATCTATAACAAAGAATCACATGGGAATTTGATAATCGAAAAATAAACACCCAAAATTCACTCAGTATATATGGTTTAAACTGGAAGATAGATTAGAAGAAAATATTTGAGCTGAGGCAGAGAGAAGTGGAAAACAGAGGATACGGAGAACATGCGTGTGCTTGCATTCTGCGAGAAATAGTGAGAGAAACGGAGCATAAGAGGCATTTGAAGAGATCACCACCAGGAACTTTCCAAAACTGACAGCAGACATCAAAACAGAGATTTCAGTAATTCTGAAAAGCACACAGTTCAATTCAAGAAAATCCTCCGCTCGCACACCATAATAAATCTGCCAGAAAGAAGACAAGAAAAGAGCTTAACCACAGCACAAACAAGAACGCTATCTTGGAAAGACCAGATATAAGATTGATGGAAGGCTTTGTCATACAAATGAAGGAAGTAAGCAGACAGCAGTGTCCTCTTTGAAGTGCCCAGAAATGAAGCAAACTAACACACAGAAGGCGCAATTACAAATCAATTAAGCAACAGAGAAAAACAAATGATGTCATTAATTATATTGTACATAAAAGTTAAAACTAACCAGATGAAATAAAGTAAAACAACTCTGCTACTCTTACAAGAGGCAGAAATTAGATAGGAATGCCCCAAGCCACAACAAAAGACAATCCTTACAAGAACTAACCAAACAGGGAAGAGATTGTACGCTTCTTATTGTCCCCAGCAAAGTAGTTATGAATGCAAGATGTACTGCTTAGGCTAAAAAGTAATAATTACAATCAAATAGAGGGATGCAAATCTAAATTTGCAAGCTTTACTAATAATATGCTCTCAAAATGTATACCACAAAAATCAATACAACTATGACTCGAAACAGAAACAGACTCACAAGTGAATATTTTAACACCCTGTATAAAAGTGGTGCATCAGTGAGATACATCAGCACAGATGTACAAGGTCTGAATGAGCCTAAGGTATAGAAAGGCCTCCAGCCATTGTGTCCCAGATATAGTCTATGTTGAGTGTGTGTGTGACCTCTGACTCGACTATATTTAAAGCAACACTGATCATGTCAGTAAGATAAAAATTATTCAGAGAATTTTCTTTGACTAAAGTCCAAATAGCCAGAAATAATTTTAAAGACTAGAAAATACCTAGATGTTTTGAAATTAAGAAATTATACTCAAACTAGAAGCTATTTAGAACTGAAAAACAATTGAAACAATATTATTAAAGACTATCTTAGATGAAAACCTATGGATTCTATTGTATACATTAGAAAAATGGAAAAATATAAATTGAAGATACAAGCTACATGTCATGAATTTAAATAAATAACAGAAAACTATACCCTATCATATTAAAAAGAAGAAAAGCATTAAAAGAAAATGGTAATCCATAAAATAAAAATTGAGAAATTTAAGAAGATAAAGTTTGATTATTTGATAACTAATAAAATTTGTAAACCAACTTAAGAAGTAAATCATATTTCTGAGCATACAGAAACATAAAAACACAAAAACATTTATGATTGCTGTACAGCAATTAAATTACATATTTTTGTACACACTTAGGTTGTACATTCTGAAAATGACAAAATGGCAAGGAACGCAAGATCTAAAAGAATGGAGAGTAGTGACAACTTTTTCAACAAATGCTCTAGAACAAGCAGACATTCAGAGGTTAAATAGTGAGCAAGAGCTTCAAATCAGTCTGCACAAAAATTAAATCGATAGCAACCAAGACAAGTTTGCAATATAAAGTTATAAACACTAGGAAACAAAGACTTAGAAAAAAAATTTGAAGATCTAGACAAATCATCCTTAACCTGGACAGCAAAATTCATGAAAGATAAAATTGATAAATTCAGCTTTATTAAAATTAAAAACTTTTGCTCTATGAAAAATATAGTAAGTAAATCAAGACACAAGCTACAGACCCTGAGAAAATGTTGCAACTTACATATCCAACATAGGGTTAGCATCATTATATACATTACTATATTATATAAAAGCTCTCTCTTGTAGGAAGAAAGAAAGGAGCGAGAGAGGGAGGGAGAGAGACAGGGAGAGAGGAAGAAGGAAGGAAAGAAGGAAGTGAGGGAGGAAGGAAAGAAGGAAGGAAGGAAGGAAGGAAGGAAGGAAGGAAGGAAGGAAGGAAGGAAGGAACCAAAAAAGAAAGGAAGGAACCAAGGAAGGAAGGAAGGATCAAATAACTCACTTAGAAAGTGTCCAAAAGACATGAGCAGGCCTTCCATTTAGGAGGGTGCACAGATGGTAAATAAATTCATGACAAGATTTTCAACAAAATTAATTATCAGCTAAATGCAAATTAAAGCCCCAGTGGGAGATCACTGCATGTGTGTTAGAGCAGCTAAAGAAATACCAACACTAGATGCTCAGTGAGGATGGAGAAACTACACTGCTCCTACATTGTTGATGGACTTGTAACTGGTAAAACCAGTCTGGGGAAGTCAGATGGCAGTGTCTTTAAAAGGTAAATATAATCATATGACCCAGCAAATGCATGACTGAATATTTATGGAGAGGAATGAAGACTTATGTTCTAGAAAAACCTGCACCTCAATATTCAGAGCAGCTGTATGTGTCGTCCACCAGAAGTGGAGTCAGCCCAAGCGTCCTAGAGCAGTTGAACAATCACACCAGCCACAGGGTGCCCACGCCATGACACCGTCTCGGAAACACAAAGGAAACTGCACAGACAGACGCTTGGACTGGTCTCCAGGATGTAACTCAAGTGAGTGGGGGTCCAAGGAAGCTGACACACATGGCCATTCCATTTAAATAATGTTTTGAATGAAAAATGTGGGGGTAGACACAGAATAGAGTTGGCAGTGACCCTGAGCAAGCAGAGGATCCACAGCACCGCACACGTGATGGGCTTGTACACAGCTACACACACACACGTACAAATTAGACAGGAAACTTGAGTGAGAGACACAGACTGTGTCAGAGCCATCAGCCTGGTCCTCACAGCCCGTCATGGTTTTTTCCCAAATGTTAACATCACAGGAAGCTTGGAGTGAAGAACTCGCAGTCTCTTCATATTACTGTGACTACTCCACATGTATCTACAGTTTCCTGAATGAAAATTTCAAAACTACAAAATATCTGTCATCCCCTTCTGCTAAGTTCTTAGAAATTCCTGGGAGCGCAGTGCTGTACAGCCACAAAGGGAAGCGTGAAGAAGTTCCAGGGGTGTCGTGTTGAGCGGTGTTATGCACAGCACCGTTTAATTTGCAGACAGCTTCAGGAGAGCCAGCACAGCGGAGCCTCGCTGTCCCGACGTGGGAGGGAAGAGGCGTGGCCCGGCTCAGGAGGAGCTGGTGCCTGGGGGCTCTCAGCAGGGATCCACATGCAGCGGCTCCCTTCTGAAAGACAGAGATGGGAAGATCTGTGCACGTTGGGCCTATCACACTGGAATAAAATGTATGCACAGGGAAGAAAACAAATCTCTTTTCATGCCAAACAAAAAAAAATGCAAACAATCTTGTCAGTGCACACACACTTTGAGAAGGGAACACTCACGGGGCCCCAGCGGCGGCTGGGGCGGCCCATGTGAGTTCTCCTCAGATAATGACCGCTGTTTGTCCTCCTTGAGGACTTGGGTACACCCTGCACCTGCGGGAGGATGTGGCCTTGATGGACAGGTGGGGTGGTGGATGGGCAAGCCATGCCATGTGCTGCTTTTCCCGAAATGACTTTGCCGAAAGCCACGCTTCCTCCTTGAGTAGGGACATTTATTTGGCTGAATTGATTTCTTTCTTGCACTTTTTCTATCTCAACATTCTTGTCCGTCAGCACGCTGAGTCCAGTCAATGGATTTAGTGTTTCTCTTCACTGGCTGCCAGCGGTGCTCTGTGACTGTTTTGCTAATGCGCATTCCATGCTTCCCTGCCTCTTCCATTTGGTGGGACCTGGACATTAACATGCAGAGGGAGGTGTCGATAAAGGCTGCCAGGTCTGTTCCCGCCGTGCACACGGCTCTTCCTTCCCATATTCTCTTAGTGTCTGATGACCTAGAATGCATTTTTCAAAAGATTCTGTGATAAAGGTACATGATAATTCTAGCCTAGACAGCCCAAGCATTTTTGTGAATGAACTGTACATTTCTCACCTGGAGTTGCTGTCACATTGATCTCCCAACACCAACAAACTATAGCACAACAGAGAATACCTCACAGCCATGTCTTGTGGGACTGTCACTTTTTTTTTCTAGGACTGTTCCAATTTTATCAGTGTTAGTTCAGAACTAGGAGAAGCCCCTCAATTCCAGGCAAAGGAGACGGCCAGTCACAGTATGATGATTTTTAAAATAAAACAGAAGTGTGCAGTAATACAATCATGACAGGTTTTTTGTTTTGTTTTTGTTTTTGTTTTTTCTGGTGTGGAAATCAAACTCACGACTTTGCACTTGCCAAGCAGGTGCTGTGCCGCTGAGCTAAACCCCCAGCCCCAATCATGACAATAAGATGACGGTGATCTGCTGTTCGAGAAGAGTGCTAAGATAAGTTGCAGGGGGACGCAGAAGCAGCCAGACGCTCCTTGGAAGAGAAAGTCAGTGTGTCTGTTGTTCTCCTCAGTAACAGTCTGAACGTTTCTTCTCCCCACAGACTCACAGGATCCAGTGTCCCTGACCTCATTGTGAGCATGAGCAACCAGATGTGGCTGCACCTGCAGTCTGATGATAGCATTGGCTCACCTGGATTTAAGGCCGTTTACCAAGGTAGGACTGAAGCCCACTTAGCATTGAAAACTAAGACTCCATCTAGTCCAGGGCAAATGTGTTAAAGAAAAAGATCAACAACTTGGAACAATGTTTATATATGGAAGCAAATTACTGCAACTTCCTGAAAGTCCTAAATATTTATGATCCTTTTCTTGGGATGAGAGTTTTGACTGGGAAAATGGGACTTGCTGTGTATGTCACTGTTATGGTAAAATGGAAAAGCAGACTAAGTGTGAAACATAAGTTGTCAAAAATGGGCACAAGCATGGGCCTTTTGAGAATAACATGTTGTTTAGCATTTTAAAAAAGTTTTATGAGCTAATTCAATATGCAAAGACAAGTAAAGAAAAAACGTAATACACATGAAATTACTTACATTTCTAATGTTTTGTGAGCAATCCATAGATTTGAAATCAATAATCTAACTTTATGTTATTTTTTAACTACTTGAGAACTTGGAAAGTTGTAGAAAACTGAAAGCAATGCAAGGAATTATTGACCACCAGATGAAAGTGGAGAGTGCTTTCTTCCGGAAGAGATACAGCCAATCATTGCTCTGTGCTTATTGACTACTTCTGATTCCGCAGGAATATTCATTTTAGCCTTTCTGATCATGTTCATGCACATTTTCTTTGAATGCTCTTCAAAACAGTTTTCAGAGTATCTTACTGGATTTATCATTCTTTACTGAGTTTTATAGGACATCTGATGTGATGGAAGTTTGGGTTTAGAGAGAGGGAAATGAGTACTGTTAATCTGGTGATTTTAGGGGCTCAGCGGCAAAAGCGCCTGCCTGGCAAGCGCAAGATCGTGAGTTTGGTTCCCAGTACCGGAGAAAAACCAAAAAAAAATTAATAATAGTAACCTTTAGGGGCTGGGGATTTAGCTCAGCGGCACAGCACTTGCCTGGCAAGTGCAAGGTCGTGAGTTCGATTCCCAGTACCGGAAAAAAAAAAAAAAAATCTGGTGATTTTGAATTTCGTTTGACTCAGTTTTACTTGGTGAATTTGTGTAGGCAGAAGGTTTATATTTTCCAACTGCGTGCTCAAAGAGTATTTTCAGTTGAAAAACAAAGGTAATAAGAAGTTACTGCATATGTGGCTGATAAGGCAGAAAATAAAAACAACCCACCAACTCCGAAACTGTAACCCTAGGGGTGGTTCTCAAGAGTCCTGTGAGTGGATGTATTATGGTGTGTCTACTCACTTTTCCTAGAGGCCGGAGTAGCTGTAATTACAGACTGACCTGAGCACGCTTAGCTATCTTGAAAGAGTGAAATTGGTCCCCCTTGTTGGAAGAACAGGGCAGACTAGGAACTTTAGAATCCTTTTCTTTTAAATAAGAATATTATAGCAAAATAGTCCAATTCACATCCCACTAAATGGTTAGGACTAGAATGCATATATAACTGCTGAATTCTTCCTGACATTTGGGCTCAGATATGACCTTTAATTGAGCTTCTACATGACTGTGCAGTTTTTCAAGAATGCATGGAATATTTTCCACATGACCTGTGCTTGCTGCTGCCTTTGGTAGAATCTAAAAGTATCAGTGAAAAACCACACTTTCCAACAGGATAAATTACAACTGGTATGAAGATACACATCATAGGCATGTAGTTCAGAGAGCAGAAACCAGCACTGTTTCTGAACCCTGGGGCCTAATGTTTAAGGATTATGAGTATTCTCAGTTAGAAAGGAAATACTCCTTTGTGTGTCATGGTTTAGCCTGATGACCAGGGCACATTAATTACCAGCACATTGACTGTAATTAGTAATCTGTTGACCATGGCAATGTCTTAATTGCTGCCTACAATGTCATGGAAACACTCCTGAGATACTGCTGAGCCAGTGCCATGTGTTCTCTTCTGACCAAACAATATGGTCATCAAAACAAGAGATCTAGTATAACTCTGAAGTCTAAAACACCAACAGAATTTTTCCAAAGAAGACATTCTAGAAATTGATATTTCCAGAGCAGTGTATTAAGCTGATGTTGGAGAGAAGGTACAAATGATCACATGAAAAGTTGTTCATGAATTATATTATCATAAAACATATACAGCTGATATTTACAAGCAAGTTAATATTCTAGCTTACATATTGAGTGGTTTTGACTAATCCTGACATTAGGAGCACACGTGCTCAGCCAGACCACCCTGAGGAGAAGCCGAGGAGGTCCTGTCTGTGTAACTCTGTGTTCCTGCAGCCCTGATGGAGCCTGTCCAAGCTCAGTGCCAGACACTTGTCCAGTGCATCACAAGCCCCTGACGGCACGGACCTGCTCCTGGCTCCACTCTGGGTCCTGAAGTGGCTGCCTCTGATGCTTTTTGCTGTCACAAAACGACACCGAGTGAGAGCTCGGCCCAGTCATGTTTGGTGTCATTTGCCTCAGCTATTTAAGTCTCAGCAGGGTGCAGATGAGAAGAAATGCGCCCTGCAATGTACTGTTGTGGTAACAAGACCTATTTCTGCTCACACTAGGAGTTATTTGGTAAAATTGAGCTCATCGTGACTATTTGCTGCATTGAGACAGAATTGTCCCTGTGTCCAGCAAGCGGGTAGATGAAAGGTGTGAGTGACGTCAGCACAGGCATCAGTCTGGAGCCCAGGTCTCTACCCATGGAAAGGAGGGAGGTAACATCCTCACACCATTCCCAGAGAAAAGCCCAACCCAGTTCAGAAGAGCGCCCCCTCCTGGCAAGGAACCTCCCTTCCACACCAGTGTGCATGCTCTCTGAGGCCCTGTCTGTGGTGTGTTGGGCTAGCTGTCCTGCTCCTCTGTGTGATCCATCGTGTCCAAGACGTGTGCAGGCAGACTCAGGTGCGGCATGTGGCTGCTGAGCAGATGAGAGCCGCCGGTCCAGGAGGGAGTGAGCTCAGGGCCCTGACCCAAAGACCAGTAAGAAAGAGCAGCAGTTGCTTTCACCAGAACAAAAGGAAAACAAACAACAGGGAAACTGTAGGGTAATTCCAGCTGGAAGCGATCACTCTCCTCTGTAGTGCCCAGGCTGTGGGAAGATGCTGTCCACCAGGAACACCACTGACCGCGCAGTTTGGGTTTTCTTTTCGAGTTACATTTTGTTCATGAATCAGAAACAGCCTCCCCTCATTAGTAAGTGAGGCAAACCACTTCTCATAGTAAGAGAAGCCATTATTGAACACCGAAGTCACTCGTGGTTCTAAGCAGGAGCCACACTAAGCTCGAGGGAGGAGTCTGACATTTCAGTTCCAGGGATGGCGGCCCCTGCGAGCAACTCTCTTTCTATTCCGTCTTCTTCACATTTATCCTTGAGGATTAAGTCTCAGCCACGGAGAAAATTGAGACAAGAGGGGTGGGCGTGAGGGGGAAGGGAGTGGGCAGAGCTCCACTCTGTGGACCCCGGGAACCCGACTCCCTGCTGCACCCTAGCACTGAGCGGGTTGGGAGTCCAGGCACGTGACGCTGTCTCACGGCCAAAGAGATGCGCAAGTGCTTGGGAGCAGAAGTGCGCACTCCAGATTCTACCTGGGCAGGGTGCGTGACGCCCTGCTGCTCTCCTCCAAGGGGCTGTCTCCGCTCTGCGGGATGTTGGGGTGGGTGTGCCAACTCCTCCAAGTCTTCAGCACATGGGGCCACACGTTAGATGGGGGGCACTTGCCTTTATTCTCCAATGGTATTTAAATCTATACTCTTTGTATATCATCTACTTGTTTAAATTCGTTGTGATCTTTAAAATCTTCTGAGCTGTATTGATTTGCAATAGATCCCGCTTCCCTCGCTGGTGTGAGTTGTCGATAGATCTGCTCTTTTCCCTACATGCAGCCAGCGTCTTAGGCCTCACAGTTCTGCTCATGTCATTATCCCGGCAATGCCCTGTGGTCACAGGTAGATCTGTGTGACTCCTCCTAAGTGCATTTATTTAGAGATGTATTTCTCTAAACTGGTAGCAAGCAGAGCTCCGTTTTCCTCTGATTTTCCAATAGGAAATAGCAGCAAGCCCAAAGAAGGCATCCGTAACCTGAGGCTGAGGAAGAGCACACTCACAGAGCAGAGACCAGGGAATGGTGGAAGGGTCAGCAGGCACCAAGTGGGGGGCGGGAGATCCTCGTGCTCTCGCAGTGTCCTGTGGCCAAGAAGCCCGGGGCCCGCATGCTGGCCATGAGTGCACTGTGGTCTCCAGGGACCTCACCTGTGACAGGGCTGGGCAGGCGGTGAGAGATGTGCGGATCATCCTACAGTAACTTCTCCTCCAGCTCAGGGAAAGGCTGCCTTTGACCATCTCATGGACATTTCGTGCTCTTAGGAAGCCGACTCTAGGAACGATTCCCAGCAGGAATAGCAGTGTGATGATGAGACGTGAAAGCCACCAGGACAACCGTCCCAAGAGCGTACGGCAAATGTCTCACAGAACCGGGAGTGCCAAGCTTTTCCCAACCTGTCAGCGGGAGATGTTTCTTGTCTCCGGGGCTGGGCAGAAAGCAGCTCTTCTGCTGCATGGTGAAGCACGTGGGTCCTGAGGCGGGCGGGCAGTGTGGGGAGGCGGGACACCGCCAGCAACCGGGCTCCTCCCTGATCTCCACTCTGCTTCTTGGCTGCAGCTTCACCCTCAGGCAGGGCCCGGCCTATGACAGAAGGAGCTCTGGCTCCTCTCACAACCGACTTCTCTGTCACACAGGGTCTCAGAGATCTGGGCACACAGGTGCCTTTGCACATTCCAGCTCGGCCAGGGATGACCAGGACAGCCTGCAAGATCCCAGCAACAGGCAGAGCAGCTTGGAGGAACAGGGGAGAGCGGGTCTGAGCACGTCTCACGCAGGAACCAGGGGCCCCACCAGCCAGAGCCTCGCCCCCAGCAGCCTGGCCGCCCTGTCCCCACAGTGCTCAGCTCCCAGACTCCAGGGCCGAGCACACTGATTCCAGTGCCTTCCACACCCTCCCCACACAGGACTCACCCACGAGCCTGGCCGTGCCCAGTCCTCCAAATCCTCCTCTGGAAGTGGTCTCTCCAGCAAGCC